TTGGTCAATTTCATACACAATTCAGATAAGGCCAATTTCAAAACAGGGTCCAGAATTAACAATACAGACATTCCTAGCACTAAAATAACATTTTCTCTGTTCATTAGTCACATATCCAGGCCCCTCTTATATTACGCTTGCTTTCCATTTTGAATGTTTATTCACACAAAAAAATAGAATATTTACTGTTATGGAGACTACTGCATTATTGTAAAAATGGTATACTATCAGTGCATTTTGACCCACCAGTTGACGTGTATTGGATGCATGATGTGATTTGTTTACTATTGAATGTAGGCAAAATCAAACATTTCTGCTACTTTGAGCTCAATTTCAAGGTAGTTTTTGTCCTTAAACCATTCAAAATCATCTCTATTTTTGTAATATATCTTCCATTCTATCAAATGAGCCTAAGAAAACGAGAATACAGCATGTATCAGAAATCTTCTGAATGAGGATAGACTGAGGGCCCTGAATCTGCACTCTCTAGAAAAGCGTAGAATTAGGGGGGATATGATTGAGGTGTATATATGGAAAACAGGAATAAATAAAGGGGATGTAAATAGCATGCTAAAAATATCTAGCCTAGACAATACTCGCAGCAATGGCTTTAAGTTGGAAAAATTCAGATCCAGGAATGATATAGGAAAGCACTGGTTTGGTAATAGAGTTGTGGATGAGTGGAACAAACTCCCGAGTACCATCATAGAAGCTAAGACGCTGTGTAGTTTTAAAAATAGGTTAGACAAATACATGAGTGGGTGTGCATTGGACCTGACTAGCTTGTGCTACTAGGTCAGATGCCGTGCTCCTTAAGTGAATGTGACCTGACCTGACAAGGTTAGGGTATTGGCTAAAGCCAGTAGGAGAATTGGACCTACCTCACATGGGCCATTGGGCCTGCTACAGTGTTCCTTCTTTCTTATATTCTTATAAATTTAGTAATGTATACATGAGAAGGGGTTACTAACCCCTTGCTCCCGGCATTTTAGTCACCTCTTACAACACGCATGGCTTACGGAGGAAGAATTCTGTTCCACTACCCCATGGAGGATATACTATTTATTTCAAATACATAAATTTATTTCCTCTTATCCCCATGAGGAAGTAGAAAAGAGTTCTTCCTCCTTAGCCATGCATGGCTTAAGAGGCGACTAAAATGCCAGGAACAAGGGACTAGTAACTCCTCCTGTATAAATTACTAAATTTAAAAGAAAAACTTTAGTTTTTTCTTTTTAGGTCACTTGAAAAAATAATAATAAATTTATTACATTAACCCTTTCAGGGTCTAGAGGCCAAATTTCAAAGTGCACACCAGTGTCCAAGAATTTTCAAAAAATAATTTTGTTATTTTTTTCTTATGAAATGGTATAGAATCTTTTTCTGAAGCTAATAAAACAAAAAGTATGAAATTTGGTGGAAAATTGACGAAATTATGCTCTTGCAAATTTTGATGTGTCAGCGATATTTACACATCGGCGACTTTTGCCGACTTTGATTCCCATTTTAGGCCAATTACCTTACTCCAGTCGACCAAATTCTTAGCTATTTCACTAGTATTACTTCTATTATATTGACTGAGCACAAGAAATCGCCAACTCAACTGTTTCAACTACAAAATAAAGTGATTGGAAATTGGTAATTTGGCCAATTTAGTACAAAGTTCAAAATATTCCAGTTTCAAAATAGGGTCCAGAATAAACAATGCAGGCATTCCTGGCACTAAACTAACATTTCCTCTGTTCATTAGTTTCGTTTTCAGGCTTTACAAATGAATTCCATTTTGATTTTTAATTCACATAATGAATTTTTATTCAAACCAAAAAATAGAAGATTTACTGTCATGCAATATTGTAATAATTGTATAAATAATATTAGCACATTTGTGAACGTATATTAGACCCACCAGCTGGCTTGTATTACAAATGCGAGGTCATTTGTTTACTCTTGAACATCGGCAAAAATTTAACATTTCCGCTACTTTGAGCTCAGTTTCAAGCCATTTTCAGTACTAAAACCAATCAAAGTCATCTCTATTTCTGTAAAATGCCTGCCATTCTATCAAATGAGACCAAGAAATTGCAAATAGAACTATGAAAAACATATGAAAAAACACTGCAAAGTTGCTGTTTTAATCGAAAATTACGGTCTGTTTTTTCTCTCATTATGCACTGTGTGCTGCAGGATTTGTTTTATGTGGTGCACACATACCACATGGATGTATTCCCTCATATCTAAGCCCAAATTTACTGCTCACAGCTTATCAGAGTGAGCTGAGCTCATTGCGTAGATCTATGGTTTGGACCCTGAACATAAAGCCATAGATCTATGACACGGACCCTGAAAGGGTTAAAGGAAAAAAAAGTGATTTCCCCTTCATTTTCAGTAATAAAAATACCAATATAAGGAAGGGTGGGATGCTCACAGCCTTAACCCCTACTACAACAACAAATTCTCGCACATATCCTAAAACAAATAATATACAAGTGTACCAACTAAACTGATGCACAAATATATGTGAAGTAGGTACTGTATGCACATTAACATAAGAACATAAGAAAGAAGGAACACTGCAGCAGGCCTACTAGCCCATGCGAAGCAGGTCCAAGTCTCCTACTGGCTTAAGCCAATGCCCCAACTTAGTCAGGTCAGGTCACAGTCACTTAAGGAAGGAGCACTGCATCTGACATAGTAGCACAAGCTAGTCAGGTCCAACTCACACCCACCCGCACCCACTCATGCATTTATCTAACCTATCTTTAAAACTACACAATGTTTTAGCCTCTATAACTGTATTCAGGAGCTTGTTCCACTCATCCACAACTCTATTACCAAACCAGTGCTTTCCTATATCCTTCCTGAATCTGAATTTTTCCAACTTAAAGCCATTGCTGCGAGTCCTGTCTATGTTAGATATTTTTAGCATGCTATTTAAATCCCCTTTATTTATTCCTGTCTTCCATTTATACACCTCAATCATATCCCCCCTAACTCTGTGCCATTCTAGAGTGCAGATTCAGGGCTCTCAGTCTGTCCTCATAGGAAAGATTTCTGATACATGGGATCAACTTTGTCATCCTCCTTTGTACATTTTCCAGAGCATTTATATTCATTTTGGAGTGTTCTAATGTCCTTGTCAGAATGAATTCGCTGGCCTATGTTGGTGTCGTTCGCAATCTTGCTAATTTCGCTATTTATTCCCTCATCTATGTCGTTTATGTAGATTGTGAACAACAAGGGGCCCAACACTGACCCCTGTGGAATACCACTCATGATGCTTCCCCACTCTGATTTCTCCCCATTTATGCAAACTCTCTGCTGCCTCTTTGTCAACCATTCCTCTATCCAGGAAAAAAAATTCTCCTATTCCATGTGCCTTAATTTTCCTCAGTAGTCTCTGATATGGGACTCTATCAAAAGCCTTACTGAAGTCCATATACACAATATCATGTTCATTACCATGATCTACCTCCTCAAATACCTTAGTGAAAAAAGTTAATAAATTTGTAAGGCAGGAATGCCCTTTTGTAAAACCATGCTGAGATTCATTGATTAATTTATACTTTTCAAGATGGCTACAAATTGCCTTGGCAATTATTGATTACATAAATTTCCCCTATGGAGGTTAGGCTTATTGGTGTATAGTTCAAAGCTAAGGACCTGTCACCTGCTTTGAAAATAGGTATCACATTTGTCATTTTCCACTTATCTGGCACTATGCCAGTTTGTAGTGATATGTTGAAAAGATTAGCCAAAGGTTTGCAAAGCTCCTCTACATTCCTTTAGAACCCTTGCATACAGTTCATCAGGGCCTGGGGTTTGTTAGGTTTTACTTTTGTCCTGTTCTACATAATTTATTATTTCTGGAATATTGCTAGTATCTTTTTGTAAAAACTGAAAGGAAGCAAGTGTTAAAAATTCTACACATTTCCTTATCACTCTCAGTGAGCTAACCCGAGTGACTTTTGAGTGGGCCTATCTTGTTCCTAATCTTACTCTTTTATACCTGAAAGAATCCTTCAGGTTCCTTTCATCTTTTAACCTTTATTGTGCAAAAAAAGATAAGCAGAGGGTAAATAAACACTGGGAAGGTCACTTACATGGACAGGTGCAGTTCATGTCTGCCCTCCCAATTTGTATATAAACAGTGTCTCCAGCAAGCTTACATTTGAGGACAGTAAGTTTATTTAGGCATAGGTACACATAAGTACAATTATCATACATAGTGTAAATTAGCTAGGATAATCCAAAAAATGTCATTGTGACCTACTGATATTAAAACACTGCATATATTGACTGGTATGCAGGAATCAACTAATTTAATCACAAACAAAGATCTGAGAGTCGTATATACGGACTGATGAGAGGTGGGATGGGGAAGGAAGCTAGGTTTCCCTCACAAGGACAGTGGACTGACCCATAGTTAGGCTGCCCACAAGCCCACTAGATGGAGGTGAAAAATCCTGCAGTCCAGCTCATGGTGCTCCAAATTTTTTCCCCAGAAGTGACATTGCGTTAGTCAGATTTTACGGAATGTTAGTTGAAAATATGCCGCAATCTTGCAATAGTGTAATTAGTGTAATGGAGAAAACATGATAAAGGATCACATGTTAATCAATGGTCTACTGTACTTACAAGCACTAATCTGCTCTTATGATCAATGCAGTAATTCAGTCAGAAATTACTTTAAATCAATCATTCTTTCCCCATTCTGTTACCAGATTCAATCATACTTTGTGTTCAACCCTCTGCCACTTTAAACCTCCTTCATTCCATTCTATCCCTCTTCCATTCTGGATTTATACACCATCTTAGTCATCCTATTCTGTTCCATCCTCTCTAACTGAAAATCATATCAACAGCCAATCTTCTGCCCTCTGAATAACACCATATGTAATTCCCAAACTTCCCTTTAATCATAGATTTTCTTATAATTCAATAATAACTAAAAAAATATTTTTCTTTCATTAATCACAATGTATATTTCTTTTCCTTATTAGGGGATGAAGATGGGAACAGTAGTTTTCGAAGCCAAAGCCTGGGAGGTGAGGACAGTTCTTCCTCCCAGACAACAGAGAAAACAGATTTAAGTGGTCATGCTTTGTATCGCTGTGGAAATGAAGGTTGTGAGTATACCAGCATATCTCAAGTGGAGCTGAGGGAACACCTTCAGGTTTGTGACCTTGCACAGGATTCCACTATTCTCAAGTGCTATCACTGTGGTAAACAGTGCCGACACTTGAGCACCCTCTTTGAGCATCTTCGAGTTCATGGACCAAAGAGATATTATTGTGGGGTAACAAGTTGTGATTATCGAGCAACAATGGTACATTACTTTAAAAACCATATGAAACAGATTCACCGGTGCTCTGGATTTAAGCAGCTGTTAAAAGATCCCAAAAACAGAGATCCAGAAACTCAAGAGTTTGTAGTGTATCCTAAAGATGCTGTCCCACTAATTAGAGAAGGGCATAGAAAAAGGAAAAATGAATATGCTATTGAAGATATTCATCGCATTCCACGTTCACATGTTTCATACCATGACTTAAAATGTTATTATTGCCAGTTTTCATCCAAAGTTAGATTGAACTTAATTAAACACATCCAGCTTCATGAAAAACATCCGGATGGCATACCCGAGAAATTGTACATAACAAATGGTAACAACAGTCCCATTCCAGTAAAACAGCCTGTAAATCCTGTGCCGTGTTTAGACCGCAAAGAGCTAATGTTTGACAAAATGATGAATCTAGCAGGCAGCAGTTTCGAGTGCAAAAAGAAAAAAGAAGATACGGATTTACGAACCAAGAATCCCATACCACCTGAAGAATATCAGAAGTTACCAAAGTTTGTTCCAGAAGAAAGGCTTCATTCCTGTGGGATTGAAGGATGCCAGTATCTCTCTTGTGATGATATGATGCTAAAATATCACATCCGTACTCTTCATGCAGATATTACATCATTTCCTTGCCCACATTGCACAGATGTTTCAATAACTGTGGAGAAGATTAGTTCTCACTTCAAATTACATGGAGAAAGACTGTACAGGTAAAGTTCTCGGTTCTATACAATTCTTCTGATTTATTTTTTCAATACAGAAATATAATGTATGTTAAAGTAACAGGTTTTCTGTGGTAGTACTGATTTCTGCTTTCTAACATATTTTTTTGTATGTAGGTTTTAATAATGCCATTTTTTTTTTCAACAAGTCGGCTGTCTCTCACCGAGGCAGGGTGACCCAAAAAAGAAAGAAATTCCCCAAAAAGAAAATACTTTCATCATCATTCAACACTTTCACCACACTCACACATTATCACTGTTTTTGCAGAGGTGCTCAGAATACTGGAAGTCCAAGCCCCTCGCCCACAAAACCTTCTTTACCCCCTCTCTCCAACCCTTTCGAGGACGACCCCTACCCCGCCTTCTTTCCCCTATAGATTTATATGCTTTCCATGTCATTCTACTTTGATCCCTTCTCTCTAAATGATCAAACCACCTCAACAACCCCTCTTCTGCCCTCTGACTAATACTTTTATTAACTCCACACCTTTTCCTAATTTCCACACTCCGAATTTTCTGCATAATATTTACACCACACATTGCCCTTAGACAGGACTTCTCCACTGCCTCCAACCGTCTCCTCGCTGCTGCATTTACCACCCAAGCTTCACACCCATATAAGAGTGTTGGTTCTACTATACTTTCATACATTCCCTTCTTTGCCTCCATAGATAACGTTTTTTGACTCCACATATACCTCAACGCACCACTCACCTCTTTTCCTTCATCAATTCTATGATTAACCTCATCCTTCATAAATCCATCCGCTGACACGTCAGCTCCCAAGTATCTGAAAACATTCACTAAAGCCATGCGTGTTATAAAAGGCCACTAAAATGCCAGGAGCAAGGAGCCAGTAACTCTGTATAAATAACTAAATGTAAAAAGAAGAAAATCTTCTGTTTCTTCTTTTTTGGGTCACCCTGCCTCAGTGGGAGATAGCTGGTATGTCGGGAAAAAAAAAAAGATTTTAATAAAGTACATACTAGGCTTACAGCCTATCTGTTTTACCTTCTAAACTACACTGCTTTTCTCTCAATAGCACTCACAAATTTTATTGGAAAATATTCTTTCCCTTTCATAAGGTTTTTTTTTTTTTTATTTCTTCAGATTTCCACAACCTTCCACCTATTCCATACAGTGGCAACACCAGCCACATTGTTTTTTCTGCCCACCCTATCATCTCTTTCCCAATCCATAAATACAACAAATAGCTGTTTTTTCATAATGAAAAATGGAAAGAGTTATGCCATATATTCCATTTCTTTTCTAAATAACTATTGTTTCTCTACATTTATACCTTACCATTTTCCCATCACAATGGGACTACTCTGCCAAACTCTATCGGGTATACTCAGTGTACTTATTTCTCTATAATTCTTATATTTATTTATATGTTTGTTGAACAAATTCACTAACCTTTCAGTATTTCACTTCTAATCTCATTTATCCCTACAACTTTTATTCTCTTTTAGCCTATTTATTGCCACTTGCTTCTGCCTATTCCCTTACTTGACTGATCATTTCCTCCTTATCTTAAGCATGAAGTTTCTTTCTCCATTTCATATATTTTCAACAGCTTCTCAGAATACAGTGGAACCTTGACTTACGAGTTTAATCCGTTCCAGGAGCAAGCTCGTAACTCAATTTACTCGTATATCAAATTAATTTTCCTCTTTTAAATTAATTGAAAAGCCATTAATCTGTTCCTGAACTCGGGAGAGCCAAGATAAAAATACTTGAATATAACACTATTATCAACTATACGGCTTATTTGTATATCACAATTCATCTAATATGACATAATAAACAATATAATTAACACAGAAACATGATATATACTCTAGAATTAATAAAATAGGCCATAATACAGTGGCAGAGGCAGCAGTGAATATGTCCTCCATTTCCTGTGTGTATATACTGAGAGTAGCTTCCCGTGCTCTTATTGTAAGAGAAAACAGAGTATTTTTGAGGCTAACTGCAATAGATCACTATTTTTCTAAGGAAAACACTGAAAATATCATATATAAACACATAATAAATCATAATATACTACAGAATGTAAAGAAATAATAAACTGTTTATTTTTTTATTTTTTTTTTTTCAAGTCGGCCGTCTCCCACCGAGGCAGGGTGACCCAAAAAAGAAAGAAAATCCCCAAAAAGAAAATACTTTCATCATTCAACACTTTCACCACACTCGCACATTATCACTGTTTTTGCAGAGGTGCTCAGAATACAACAGTTTAGAAGCATACACATATAAAGATACACAACATATCCCTCTAAACTGCCAATATCCCAAACCCCTCCTTTAAAGTGCAGGCATTGTACTTCCCATTTCCAGGACTCAAGTCCGACTATATGAAAATAACCGGTTTCCCTGAATCCCTTCACTAAATATTACCCTGCTCACACTCCAACAGATCGTCATGTCCCAAGTACCATTCGTCTCCGTTCACTCCTATCTAACACGCTCACGCACGCTTGCTGGAAGTCCAAGCCCCTTGCCCACAAAACCTCCTTTACCCCCTCTCTCCAACCCTTTCGAGGACGACCCCTACCCCGCCTTCCTTCTCCTATAGATTTATATGCTTTCCATGTCATTCTACTTTGATCCATTCTCTCTAAATGACCAAACCACCTCAACAATCCCTCTTTTGCCCTCTGACTAATACTTTTATTAACTCCACACCTTTTCCTAATTTCCACACTCCGAATTTTCTGCATAATATTTACACCACACATTGCCCTTAAACAGGACATCTCCACTGCCTCCAACCGTCTCCTCACTGCTGCATTTACCACCCAAGCCTCACACCCATATAAGAGTGTTGGTACTACTCATCAATTCTATGATTAACCTCATCCTTCATAAATCCATCCGCCGACACGTCAACTCCCAAGTATCTGAAAACATTCACTTCTTCCATACTCCTCCTCCCCAATTTGATATCCAATTTTTCTTTATCTAAATCATTTGACACAGTCATCACCTTACTCTTTTCTATGTTCACTTTCAACTTTCTACCTTTACACACATTCCCAAACTCATCCACTAACCTTTGCAATTTTTCTTTAGAACCTCCCATAAGCACAGTATCATCAGCAAAAAGTAACTGTGTCAATTCCCATTTTGAATTTGATTCCCCAAAATTTAATCCCACCCCTCTCCCGAACACCCTAGCATTTACTTCCTTTACAACCCCATCTATAAATATATTAACCATGGTGACATTACACATCCCTGTCTAAGACCTACTTTTACCGGGAAGTAGTCTCCCTCTCTTCTACACACCCTAACCTGAGCCTCACTACCCTCATGAAAACTCTCTACAGCATTTAATAATTTACCACCTATTCCATATACTTGCAACATCTGCCACATTGCTCCCCTATCCACTCTATCATATGCCTTTTCTAAATCCATAAATGCAATAAAAACTTCCCTACCTTTATCTAAATACTGTTCACATATATGCTTCAATATAAACACTTGATCTACACATCCCCTACCCACTCTGAAACCTCCTTGCTCATCCGCAATCCTACATTCTGTCTTACCTCTAATTCTTTCAATTATAACCCTACCGCACACTTTTCCTGGTATACTCAGTAAACTTATTCCTCTATAATTTTTACAATCTCTTTTGTCCTCTTTCCCTTTATATAAAGGGACTATACATGCTCTCCGCCAATCCCTAGGTACCTTCCCCTCTTTCATACATTTATTAAACAAAAGTACCAACCACTCCAACACTGTACATCCCCCCTGCTTTTAACATTTCTGTCATGATCCCATCAGTTCCAGCTGCTTTACCCCCTTTCATTCTACATAATGCCTCATGTACCTCCCCCACACTTACATTCTGCTCTTCTTCACTCCTAAAAGATGGTATACCTCCCTGACCAGTGCATGAAATTACTGCCTCTGTTTCTTCCTTAACATTTAAAAGTTCCTCAAAATATTCTCGCCATCTACCTGATACCTCCATCTCCCCATCTACTAACTCCCCTACTCTGTTTTTAACTGACAAATCCACACTTTCCCTAGGCTTTCTTAACTTGTTTAACTCACTCCAAAATTTTTTCTTATTTTCATTAAAATTTCTTGACAGTGCCTCTCCCACTCTATCATCTGCTCTCCTTTTGCACTCTCTCACCACTCTCTTTACCTTTCTTTTACTCTCCATATACTCTGCTCTTCTTATGACACTTCTGCTTTGTAAAAACCTCTCATAAGCTTCCTTTTTCTCTTTTATCACACCCTTTACTTCATCATTCCACCAATCACTCCTCTTTCCTCCTGCCCCCACCCTCCTATATCCACAAACTTCTGCCCCACATTCTAATACTGCATTTTTAAAACTATTCCAACCCTCTTCAACCCCCCCCACTACTCATCTTTGCACTAGCCCACCTTTCTGCCAATAGTCGCTTATATCTCACCCGAACTTCCTCCTCCCTTAGTTTATGCACTTTCACCTCCCTCTTACTTGTTGTTGCCACCTTCCTCTTTTCGCATCTGCCTCTTACTCTAACTGTAGCTACAACTAAATAATGATCCGATATATCAGTTGCCCCTCTATAAACATGTACTTCCTGGAGCCTACCCATCAACCTTTTATCCACCAATACATAATCTAATAAACTGCTTTCATTACGTGCTACATCATACCTTGTATATTTATTTATCCTCTTTTTCATAAAATATGTATTACTTATTACCAAATCTCTTTCTACACATAGCATACCCCTAGCACCCCAAATTTACCTACTACTCCCTCCATAACATTTTTACCCACTTTAGCATTGAAATCCCCAACCACCATTACTCTCACACTTTATTCAAAACTCCCCACGCATTCACTCAACATTTCCCAAAATCTCTCTCTCTTCTCCAGGTCTTTCTTTCTTTCAACACACCAGCCATATCCCACCGAGGCGGGGTGGCCCAAAAGGAAAAACAAAGGTTTCTCCTTTCACATT